TCTCTCTCTTTCTCTCAGGCGGCACGTCTTCTTTTTAGTGTATGCACTATTTATACGCTACCGTCGCGAGTTTTTCATCTAATATTTATTGCGTCGGGGAATTATCAGTGTGTGTGAGTACACGTTTTATCGTCTCTGGAATTTGAATGTTTGACTCTAGTGGAAACGGGGGAGAAGGCTCTTAAAAGATTTTATCGTTTAATCAGGTATAGTGCGAAGATTATTCGTTCTCGTCGTGGTATGCGCAAACCAAGCAATTTTAAGTAAACTCGCTGGAGGCACGACAACAAGGACGCGCGCGCTTGCACACCGAATGTGTTTGAGAAGCCGAATACCTGGCATTGTTGCGCTCGCTCCGAGCAAACTTTATTATTAGGAATGATTTTGATAAGCTCGGCGCTCGTGAAGGCTGAGCGAATGGCAAAGCGCCTATTATTCTTAGCGACGGCGACGCGTCAAGATTATATAAATTTGCGTTCGTTAAGATTCATGCCGCGGTCGTACGATTTAAATCATTTGGAGCTTTTATTATTTAATAGTGTAAGATTGACGCACCGCTGCAGCGTGCATAACATTGAAATACGAGCAAGTGCCGGCATTACGAGGTATAGGCACAAACTCGTGATACTCGCACGAGAGCATAATGCATTGATGTAGGGCAAAGAACGCTGCGTGATTGCTGCCTTATAAAATATCGATCAATGCCTACCTCTGGTCGTTCGATATAGTGTAAAGAAAATCGAGTATCATGGTCTTTTTCAAGTATTCTACATTAAATATTTACTCGCCTTTTTTTTATCAAGTAATCGACACTTAAGTTACTTTTGTTTAAAAAAACGCCCGCCAGGCCGGAAAAACGTGTAGCGTTGACATTGAAATGTCCCGTGTCGTGTGTGAATATTTCATGCGACGAGTGAAATTTTCAATGTTTTTCTGCTCTCGTCAAATATATAAGTTTATCAGCGACAATCGTTTACATTCTAAAAAGTTTTCAAAGCAAATCTGTAGTTTGAATAATAAAGCTGCCAAATAGAACTAAGACGTTTACGGCCGAGCGAAGCGAGGGTAAAGAGGTCACGTGCGCGAGGAGATTCGATTGACACAGGCTTGGCGAAGCAAGCGTGTCTCAAATCTCGTCTCGGGCGCGTCGCATCGAAAAATCAAGCTGCAGATGCATGCGCAAGAAAGCGATTTCACCCTCGCTTTTGTGCGGAACGTTAGGCTTGCAGGAGCGGAAGGAAAGTTTTTCGATGGGCGCGTGCATCGCGCGTACAGCATATCGCATGGCAAGAGCCAAAAATATATACGTATATCGCAAGGCTCGCGCGACGTCCGCGCGGACGACGCGACGAGGAGAGCAGAATCCGATCCGCAGCGAGGCGAACAAAAAGTGCGTGAAAACGAAGGAGAAATGGGTCTGCTGTATATAGGTGCATCGTGTCGTTACTCACCGTGACAACCACCACCGCGGTACGCCGGTCCCGTTTTCGTTCGTGCGGTCCGCCGGCCGCGTCGACTCGCGCACTGCATTTCGTGAGTTTTCACATCCGTCCCCTCCCGCCCCGCGTCGCAGAGCTGCACAGGATCGGCGAACCCTTGAATTACCAGCGGAAGTCGTTGCGCTAGGACAGGCACCGCCTCGAATTATAATACGCCGTTTCAGCGAGGGCCGCCGTGCAAAACTTTCGCCTCGTTCATCGGCGACTTGTGTGCGAACATTTTTTTTTCGAGATTGCACAAGCCGGCAATTGACTTTTTGACTTTAAAATGCTTGCGCGAGCGAACGAGAGCCACCATGCACGCCCCGCGCCGCTATGGGTTTCTGCGTTAATGCCTTCCGAGAACTCGTGCAGATCTATACGTATATTGCAAGCGAAACGTTTTTTAACCAGATATCCCATTACTTTTTATCTTTCTCACGTCGTTTATCCTAAATATTCTCGCTGTATGCACACGGACAAGATCATAAAGTGTGCTTACGATAATAATAATGGCTGGAAGGTCGAGTAACCGCGTTTAGTGTAGCATCGCTTGCATTTAAGTGTCCGTTGTCAATTATTCATACTATTGTTTATACGCTATTTTTAAAACTTGTTCAAATTAGAATATAATCAAATTCTCAAAACTCTCGTAACAAAGTTGAATTACATTGTGAATATTTTATTAGCTGTTTAAGCCGACACCTTCGCGTCGGGCAACAGCGAAAAAAGTGCAATTAGGTTCGCGTAGTAACTCGTAGAACACATTGAAACATGTAGGTCAAAGGATGATTTACCATCAGCTTCTGATCTGCATTACAATACCTGTTACACTGAGCTGCAACTCTAGCACTGCTCGTAATAATTGAATAAAGTGAACAAAAAAAAGGCTTTGATGTTTAATCTGCAATTGTGAAATATATGCAGAATAATGCGATTAGGCAACGGACTTGCAATTCAAGCAGGTTATTACCAAACATCAAGATCATCTAGGCTGATATGAAGCTTTTGTCGATACGGAAATTAATGACCCTTAACTTAATGGCTTTGAGGTGCAAATGAGGATCGTCAGATAACTTTCGTGTCGATTGTTCAGCAGAGTAATTATAGCAGAGGTGTGAAATTTAGCAGTGCAGAAATGATAAAAATTATAATTGCACCTCACTTGATAGAAACATTTATTCAATAAGATTCCAAATGGAGCTCGAATAATTTTAAAAGACACTCCGTAATACCCATGTTATTCGGTGAATATCGTCATATGGGCTTATTATTACACGTCGTGGGAACGACGAGTGCATTGGCAATATATATTTGAGGTAGTCGACGGTTTCTGCATTCTTGCGGTATACATTCGCCACGAAAGCGAGTCGTCGGAAAGTTTCGCAATTTTCAAAAGGCCATTCTTCAGGCTGCGCAAGGAAGTGAAATTGATATCGCATCCTCGCGGCGAAAGAGCTTCTTTGCAAAAGCTCGATAGTTGTGTACAATGCTTGCGTGGCGGCGGCGGCTTATCTATAAACGAAATGCGATCGCGTGATCTGGAGATTGTACATTTTGCAGATAATAAAGTACCGTTTCGCGGTTGGCAGTGTACGCAATCGGTACGCTGCAGCGGCACTTCCGGACTAAATACGAAACTGTACTTACTTCTCTTTCTCTCTCCCTCTCTTTCATTCCATTATCCCTTATTTCCCTTTCTGCTGCGTTTGCTCGAGCGCGCCCGTAATTTCGAGGGAGCGAGACGTCATTATTAAAAGAGAGAGAGAGAGAGAGAGAGAGAAACAACAAGAAGGAAAGAGAAAAGAGCAGGATACTTAAATATTCATTGCACGCGGCAAAACTCATCTATTTCGCACTCGCGCGGCTTGCGTGTGTTACATTATAAAAGGCCCGCGCACTCATTGTAGCTTGACAATCGTCTATTAAGTAGCGCACGTGATATTAGCAATCGCGCGTATGATTCGCAATATAAGGTCACATTATGCCCGTGCCGAGTCGTTCATTAAAATCATATTTGTTTCTTATTGTTTGTTAATGAATACTGGCGCGCGCATTCGTAGTTCAGTATTATTCGATAGCTCTGAATAATACCGAGCCATTACCGTTGTAATCAAATCCTATATTCTTTGGATTTTTCGGGCTCCTCGCAGGTCGCGGTTTTTGCCTATGTCAATGTCATTTTTACGAATGCAGCTGAATTAAAATGCAGATACATAAATAGTGCTCCCGCAACTCTGCTAATTATCGCGAGTGATATTTTGGCTAGAAGCGAATACATGAGACGGCATACACAAGCCCGAGTGTGACTTTGATGTTTGGAGCCGATGGCACATATTATCAGGAGGTATAATCAACAATGTATCGAGGGAGAGAGAGAGAGCGCGCGTACAAAATCTTTAGGGGAACGAAAAACGGCTTGGTGCGCGGTGCATCTGTGTGTAATGTAGGTGTGCGTGCAATTAGCATAGAAGAGATTGCGTCGATGGAAACAGGTAGTGGATAGCCCTTTACGTCGCCAATCTCAGCCAACATGTTCAATATAAATATACATGTGGAAGAATCTAGCTAAGGCTATATTTCTCTTTCAATGGCTATTTGCGAGCCCAGATTGATGCGAATGACTCGACTCGAGCATGCACATATGTATGATTTCGTTGCATTCTAAAGTAACCTTGCCGATATGTACGCAACGCGGCTGACGAGTATTAAGCCCCTCCTCCCCTCTCCCCAAGGTAAAGCAACGATTCCGTTAAATATCTAGATATATCGACAGGTTTGCGTGTTCTTAAAACATTTGTTGAACTTTTCACTCAACTGCTGTTATCTGCCTTTAGAGTCATTGCCTGCATCTTTTGACAAATTTATACGTCACCACTTTTGTTTGGATTATTAGTTGTTTGTTGAATAAGTATGTAATAACAATTACTTCATAGCAGAAATGTCCTTTTAAATTAATGAAAGAAAATTTAGATCATTTTACGTTATTTCTTTGTATTGTCGATATTGAACAAACACGATATTATTAAAAACGGAATCTACAGATATTTAACAATCATAGCAGCCAAGCGAACGTATATGCATAATTGAAAGCAAATATTATTGTTTCAATAATAGACAATTTGACTATTTTAATTTAAATGTGCAATAAAACACCGATAAAACTCATTGCCTATTTTCGAATATAACAATTATTTTTATAATATCACTAAAACTTATTAAAAACAGGACTTTTCATGCCATCTAGCAGTGTAAATTATAAGTGGTAATGTATACGCAGATGATCATCTTTGCAGCTCTAAATTATATATATATAATTTAAGAAACTGTTAGTATCGATTCCAGATAATAACATCGGATAAGGCAGTGAGACAAAGTACTTAAACGTGAAAGATATAAACAGAGGGCGTTTAGATCTTTTTCTGTTTCTGTTCGTCATTTCTAATCTAGCTCCGCTTCTTCAGTCGGTACTTCAGAATATTTTGACCACATGTCAGATTTGTTTATTTTGTATAAGAGAAAATGAGGTTACTATAAAGTAATTAAAATATCCTAGTTTCATTACAATTATTAGTAATATAAGGCAATTATTTTTTCAAAACAGAAATCAGTCATATGTTTTTATCATTTTAAAATGCAAGAATGTTTTATTTGAAAAAAATTTTGGTAATTTTATTTTTTTTTGATCAACAATACATACTTTTTAGAGATTTATTAAATCAATAAAACATATTTTTTTAGATTAATAATTCAAGAATAAAAATTGGCTTATTAAGGCTATATTCTATGCAAAATAAGCATCTGACAGAGTGGAATAACATCAAATCTAGTTATTCATCTCACCAATTGAAATTAATTTTGAATACATTAAATAAAATAAATGAAGTAGAATTAAAAAAGTAAAAATAATCTCAATCTATTACACTTTTATATAAATATTATGTATTCTATCATTTTGAAGATTATTGATTATTTATTTTCTTAATCTAGTTTAGGTTTATCGGTTGAAACAATAAAAATGTTGGAGTTTACAAAGAATGAGAGAAAAAAATATAAATCACTAGATGATTTTATTACATTAAATATAATAGATGCCAATGAACTGAATGTATGTTCTAACTTAATAACAAAACGTATAAGACAGTCAAAAAAAATAGTTACACCAGCAATAGAACAGAAAAAACTTAAGGTATATATAGATAATTAATGATAAATATAAACTTTAATTTTATTTTAACATCAATCTACATTGTTACTTAGACTATTAAAACAGCCATTGGAATTCGTATCAAAGACAGGTATATAAGCTGGTCACAATTGAAATTAAATGGATCTCAGTGTTCTTTACTAAAATGGAACTGTCATGAGCTTGTAGATCTATCTTTAAATTCTACTATTCCACAAATAATTCATAAAGTAAATCAATACTTAAATAATTTTACTAAATTCAAAAACACATTAAAGTTATCGAACATTATTGCAGGTTAAAGATATTTCTGAATCTATACCAGATGCTGATGTATATGTCATGGAAAAAGATTCATCAAAACCAAGTAGTAAGGTAAACATAAATATTTTAAGATCAACAGTACAACATCAAAAACTCCTTTCAATATTACTTACACTGTTGTGGACAAAAAATAATCTGAATAGTTGGTATTTCAATCTTTGCATAAATATACTAGTATTATAATTGACTAACTAATTATATTGAATTTTTTCTTTTTTTAGAAGCACCAGATAGTGACTTTTTTAGTTCATTGTACATGATACGTCCATATACTTATGCTCAACTTTTTCAATTGTATGTTGGCAATGAAATTGTATCAGCTGTGGATGTAGTTAATGACTTACTTGCAAATAGTAGCCACAAAAGTCTAAAACATATTACTTTTGTATGTTTTGACGAAACAATTATAGAACAATATTACTCTTTGAATCAGTACATGAAAGAGGAATTAGGCAGAAGTTTGCTACTAACATTAACATTTTTTGAATCAGTAATTTTAGATGTTTAAAGAAAACAGTTGTTGTAAATTATGTACAGTTGTACCTTACTGTTAAAAATAAAATTTTATTTATAAAATAAATTTAAAATTATTTTTGTAAATATTGATTACCAATATTGGTAGTCAACTAAATGTAACTTTTAACTTGCAAATAGGAATTTAAATAAAAAGATGTAATTTAGATTAGAATATTCCATAAATATATTATATTTTTGAATTCAATCACACGAATGTTACAAATTAAAATGAAAAAGTTACGTTTATTTTATTATTTATTTTAATTCCTTTTATACAATTTTACATCTAAACTGCTTAATAATTGATATAATTTTCAAGGTATGTATAATCTAAGAACCTCTTAATCATTGATTTTTAGTTTGGACGGTAAATAACTTTCGACGAGATATGTAATTTTTTTTTAAACTTGAGATCGATAATTAAAAAACTGAAAAACAAAGCGATATTTGTACAGATATTATACTTGCATTTATAAAAATAACGAGCAACGATTCAACGTTTTGTTTACTATTTCAATATGTATGACTATGGCTATATGTATATAATATTATAACGCGGAGTTCTCGTATAAATTGATATGTAATACGATGTGCGGGGCAATCTTTTCTAGACGGACTGTTTTTCGGCTAGCTCGGGTATACGTTCGCCTTCCTTTTGGGAAAGATCCGAGCCCGGAGGCGGCGCGGGTCACCTGTCAGCTGATCGATACGAAGTAGTACTGCGTCTGCAATGTCTGATTAAGAATAAAGGAGATCGAGTAATAAGAATTAGTACGAGATTTTATTTATTATTTTTATGACTTTCTTTGTTACCTGAGAACTATGAGCTTACGCTTATCGTGCGAGGCTCCCGCTAGAGTCACCCGACATATGTCGATCGAGGTCTCCATAAAAGTTTTTTTAGACGTATTTTGATACCTTGAATCTGAACGTTGAGGGTGTTTAGCTGGATAAGGTGATTCTCAATTATTCATTAACAACGAAAACGTTTATAACGTTATAACATTTTTAGAGTTGCATTTTTGATTGAATAAATATTAATTAGAAGCTGAAATATGACCGTACAACTAACAAAAACCAATGCTAGCATGCGACTAATATCCTGTTATAAATTTCTTTTTAACGAAGCTACAGAAGGCATCAACCACCCATAATATTCTTTAATCTAAATCTACTGGTTTTTTCAGATTGCAAAGAAAATTTTTTAAATTGAAGCTACTGATCAAATACCAAAATAGCGTGCTCTAACGACGAATTCAATTGTTTCATGCGCTGGCATCTTTTGCGAAACAGTATGCATTTATTTTTTACAAAAATGACAAACTATGCACTTTTTTTACGCTTTTTGGCCTTTTTATCTAGTGACATTATACGAGCACGTATAACATAAAGTAATTCTCAGTGGTCTCTCGTGCTTTGTGTGTGTCTTTCTTTCTTTTTCTCACGCTTACAATTTACGTGGTCGCACGCTTGATGCATCTTCTTCCGTCTCTGCGATTCACGTGGTGTGACGAGGTACGAGTAGCCTTCATACTACATACACACGCACACACATTCACACACAATATACAACTAAAATGCTGAATTTAAGTAAAAAGCCGACTTCAATCACAGTTAATTACATTATCATTAGCATTCGTCATTGTATAATAATTCGAAAAAAATTGATGTGGAAGGGGCGAGTTCCTCTCAAAATAAATAAAATTCTACTACTAAAGTTATTAGACAATATATATAATACAATCAAAATAATAATTTTACAAGTATGGCAAAAAACAACAACATTTATAATATAACGTTTTCATCAAAATTCTCATAATTTCGTCAGTTGAAGTACAGTCACATCTTCAACATTTTTTTTTAAATTAATACAAAATATTGAAATATTGTACTGCATAACTAATGGTCACAATGAGCGTATTCGGAGGTATATTCAACTGTAACCCGCTGACGAATAAGATTCAATTATAGTAGAGAGAAAATTAATAATGTTCTTTTTCCTCGCTTTTATTTTTAAGTCTGTCAGATCTCTCTCTTTGTGCAATACATTTTTCTATGAATTTAGACGGATAATCATTCTTTTTTAGAATATTGATGACTTTATTTTAAATTTTTGTGTGAAACTTTTCATGTGTGAGTAAAAAAGCTCTGTTATATATATTATTTACAATATTTCGTTTTTGTTGTATTATATGGTTTAAATTAAAATTAAGTATATTTACCTAGTACCGTTTCTTTTTGAAACTAATGAATAATAATTCTAATACTATTTCTGATAATCGATTAATCTGAAAAATTCAAGGTATTATTTAATTCACAATTTACGAGTAAATTGAATACAAGACTTGAATACAAGACAGTAACTCTTAAAAACATTTAATACTGTATGAAGATAATTTCTTTTAATACATATTATTATATCATCATACCGGTAATACCACATACCGGTAATAAAATAATGGTGTACAATTAATTTTTCTTTTAATGTTTTTAAGCAACTAATGTCTAAATCTGATAAATATATAGAACAAATGGAAAATATTTTTAACGATAAAAATACTTACAAACTAATTTAAAAGAATCTTCTAGTATCGTTATAAAAGAAGACATAATATTTTAAACAATTTAAATGATGAGGATTATTGAGATAAAAAATACCATAACAATAGTTTGACAAACTAACACAGTATTATGAAAATCTTATACACTATACCAAAAATTCACAATAAAATATTCCTTTTCGTTCTATTATTTCAATTAATCGTCCAGCACATTTTCTCGTTAAAATAGTAATCAAAGCTTTTCTAATATTTTCAAAATCAAAATCGTTATGTAAAATATTTCATTTTAATTCAATCCATACAATACAAAAAAAACGAAATATTGTAACTAATTTATATGATAGAGATATTGTACTCTCACATGAAAACTTCCACACAACAATTTTAAATAAAATCATTGATATTATAAAGAAGAATGATTTTTTTCTAGATTCATAGAAAAATGCATTACAAAAAGAGAGAAATTTCACAGACTTATAAATAAATAAAGAGAAAGTATCACATCATTTGAAGTCCAACAGTCTAATTGTAACCGTTTCTATCCCGCGTTTATTAAAGTATTTTATTATGATCGCGAATGAGAGTTAAGACAATGTAATATTCAATGTGTTCCATTAATAAATCACAAATTGGATTATGTGGTTTGATTTGTGGGTAAAGATTATTATAATTACATATTGTAAATGGCAGGAGACTGGAGTAATATACAAATTTAATTGTAACGATTGCAACTCTGTTTACATTAGAGAATTTAATTTATTTTATTTTCTAATGAAGATAACAATTAAAAAGAATGGAAGATATGCCGGGACGACCGATGAACTACGGGTCTCATGGAAGGTGTTTCAATATTGTTGCGGCATTGCTAAAGTACTTAACTTCACTCAATGATATCTCGATGAAAAAAAAGATAACTCTAATTCGAAAAACAGGTTTTAATAGACAAGAATACTGCATTGTCATGATTCTACTTGTTTTTTGAAAAATAATTATTCACGTTGTTACATAATCTCGAACATAGCAACATATTGCGATTTTCGCACTTTTAGGTTAGGGTATTTTGAGAACTTTAAGTTATGGATCAATTCTGAAGCCAGATTTCGTAATATCTATTTGCTATGAAGTGAGTTTCAATAGTATTTCAATATTTATATCACGTGTTTGAATCTGTCACAGATTAGTATTAGAAATAATGTATCAGAAAAACTCGAGCTGCTGAAAGTTCTATCTAATGACTAAGCGGCATGGAGGTATAATTTTTTTAATGAGATTTTTCGAAGCACTGTAGTTTGAACAAAATTAAAGAGCTGAAGGGCTGAAGAATTTTATTCAACAATATATTTATTGTTTTCAATGACACTTCAGAGTTTTTAAACATTAGGTATTAATCATGCTTTATAAAAATGCAAAAAAAACCATGATGTTTTCATATTTTGCATTTGTTATTGTTTTTCTGTTATGATGGGGTTGTACGCTTCTATAGATAGAATCCATCATCAAACTTCGTCTCAGTTTCTTTTCAGGTTTACCTGAACTACTTATATCGAATTCTTGAATAAATTACCATCTATAAATGTTCCTGTGTAGATTAGACTTAATCGTTTGTAGAGAGTTTATTGCAACAATTTTATCAGAAAAAATTCACAGAAGAACATAATTAATATTTAAATTTCAGAATCACACTTAACGAATGAATATAGAATATTTCGAAATGAATAAATCAGTCACAGCATCAATTGTCTTAAAGCGTGCATTTCGCCCAAAAGCAAATTGTAGATAGAAATTCAACCTTTCAACGTGTACCCTTGTTTTATTACTTACGAAGCTAAGTCGCGGAGCTAAATAATTTTCGATTTATAATAGGCGATCCTGTAAAAGAAATTATATTTTGTACGTAAACAATATATACAATATCTAAAACTCATACAACAGAACACAAAAATATAACGCTAAATAGTGAATTAGCCAATCATGTAAGAAGTAGTACATTTAAATACTTGTAAAGTGCTCTAAGACTCGTCTGACCTTTTCACCCACGCTTCGCTTAAACGACTATGCGAGGCTCAAATCATTTTCTTTTATTTTGTTCGCTTTTTTGTAATAATAATTTAATATTTGCTTGGAAAAAAAGTTGAAGAAATAGCTTTGTTATTCGATCAACAAATTTACTTTAAAAACTTTACAGAATGATTTTGACTAATAAAGTTATTTCACATGATCTGTTTTACTGTGTGCGTCGAGCAGAAAAAAATGTAACCTTCGTATCCTCACATGAAATATTTACATTTATTACAGCAGCCTCTGCATCTTAAGACATTTTACGACGAAGGATTCCAATTTCAACGCTAGACGTTTTTCAGGTCTGGCGGACTTCTTTGAAATAAAAATAACTTTCGTATTAGTTACTCAATATAAAATTGAGTAAATATTGTATATATAGAATACTTGAAAAAAGCAGCTCTTATATTTCGAAAAATTATGATATATTAAGTACTTGAATATTCGCGAAGCTAAAATGATCTATTTAGTTACATTTTTCT